CAGACGCTTAACTGACTGAGCCACCCAGGCTTGATTCAATTTCTTTTCATAGATGTGGACCTATTCGAATTATCTACCTCTCCTTGTTTGGGTTTGGTAGACTGTGTCTTTCAAGAAATTGGTCCATTTCATCTAAGTTATCAAATTAGTGGGCACAGGGTTATTCATGATACTCCTTGATAATCCTTTTAATGTCCATGAGATAGTAGTGATGACCCCTTTTTCAATTTTGATATTAATAACTTTAGTCTTCCCTTTTCTTGGTTAGCCTGGCTAGAGATCTATCAATTCGATGTTTTCAGAGAACCAGCTTTTGGTTTCATTCATTTTCTAGGTTACTGTTTTCACTTTCACTAATTTCTGTTAGAGCAGAAATTGGAATTTTTATTTTTTCTCTCTTTGGATTTAATTTGCTCTTTTTTTTCTAGTTTCCTAGCTTAGATTATTTTATATCTTCTTTTCTAATATGTGATTTTTTTTTAATGCTATAAATTTCTATTTTTTCTTTTTTTTTTTAAAGATTTTATTTATTTGAGAGGGAGCTTGAGCAGGGGGAGGGGCAGAGGGAGAAGCAGACTCCCTGCTGAGCAGGGAGCCCGATGCGGGACTCGATCCCAGGATGCTGGGATCATGACCTGAGGTGAAGGCAGACACTTTGCTGACTGAGCCATCCAGCGCCCCTTAATGCTATAAATTTCTAAGTACTGCTTTTGCTGCATCTCACAAATTTTGATAAACTGTATTTTCATTTAGTTCAAAATATAATTTCTCTTAAGACTTCTTTGATCATTGTGATTTTAGAAGTATGTTGTTTAATCTCCAGATGTTTTGGGATTTTTAACCATTTTCTGTTGAATTCTAACTTAATTTTATTGTGATCTGAAAGCATACATTGAATAATTTCTGTTCTTTTAAATTTGTTAAGGTGTGTTTTATGGCCCAGAATGTGATCTCTCCTGGTGAGTGTTTCATGTAAGCTTGAGAAGAATGTGTAAAGTATGAAGTGGGTTTCACCAGGACCAAATCAAGGTGTCTGTAGGGCTGCACTTCCTCTGGAGTCTCTAGAGGAGAATCTATTTCCTTGCCTTTACCAGTAAGTTTCTAGAGGTTGCCTGCATTCTTTGGCTGATAGCTCCCTCCTCCATCTTTAAAGTGCATCACTCAAACTCTGTTTTATTTTTTAAGATTTTATTTATATATTAGAGGATGAGCCAGGGGAGTAGCAGAGGGAGAGGGAGAAGCAGGCTCCCCGCGGAGCAGGAAGCCCGACATGGGGCTCCATCCCAGGTTCCAGGGATCATGACCTGAGCTGAAGGCAGATGCTTAACCGACTGAGCCATCCAGGTGCCCCTCAGTCTCTGTTTATGTGGTAACATTTCCTCTCTTTTACGGATTCTCCTTCATTCCTTTTTAAAGGACTCTAGTGATTACATTTTTCCCAGCTGGATAATCCAGGATAATCTCCCTATCCAAAATTTGTAACATAATCATATCTGTAAAATTCCTTACACCATATAAGGGAACACATTCATAGGTTCCAGGGATTAGGTGTGGACATTTTGGGGGCGGAGGTGTGAAGGGCATTATTCTACTACCAGGGTAGTAGAGTCAGGATATGAACTCAGTAAGCCTGCTCTTGGAACCACTTCTCTGCTCTTTCTGGCTTCCCTACTACCATTTACATCTATGTGTCTTCTCTGTACTGTGTTTTAATTGTCTTTGTTTACCTTTCCCACTAGGATGTGACTCTCCTGAAACAGGACATAGAGCATTTGAACAAAATGAGTTCAGATAAAGGAAATTACATGAAATGATGAGGTATCAGCAACAGAGAAAATAACTCATTTGACTCTCCAGCCTTTTTAAGACTATATGCACACCTGACTTCTACAGTTAACCTCCAGTTACCTCCTAATGTTAATATAAATTAAATATTAAAATAAGTATATGCATATATATATCTAAATTTAAGTAGCCTGCTGTGGCTAGTGCCTACTATATTGGATAGCACAGCTCTGTAATCTCTACCATTCCACCAAAATGCTCTTAGAGAACTTTAATGCAAATGCTAAAGATGGTTTGTCTGAAATGAAAATTCTCCTAACAACTTACATTGCCTTAATTTTTGTTTTCTCTGGAACACCAGGGTGGCTCAGTCGTTAAGCATCTGCCTTCAGCTCAGGTCATGATCCCAGGATCCTGGGATCGAGCCCCCCGCATTGGGCTCCCGGCTCAGCGGGAAGCCTGCTTCTCCCTCTCCCACTCCCCCTGCTTGTGTTCCTGCTCTCACTGTCTCTCTCTCTGTCAAATAAATAAATAAAATCTTTAAAAAAAAAAAAAAATTTGTTTTCTCTTTTTGTGGGCACAGAGGTAAGGACTAAATGATACACATTTTAGAGGAGTTTTATGTCATTATGAGCAATTTTAGATAGAACAAACTTGCTAGACACTCTTCTTCCAGTCATTGAAGAACATTTTAATAAAAAGCCTTGATGGTTTTATTTTATCATTTTCCTTTACTCCTAGAAATACCTTGTGAGAATTTAACTATTGTCACAGGCTACTCTAATAAAGTATTGTGTGAAACCACATTTGGGTAGTGTTTACCCTGGCAAATTTAACTACATTTCTATGCAGTTTATGTAAACCCCACCCATACTTTAACCTGCTTCCCATTTTGATGAGGTTCAATCAGGGGAAAAAGAAACAACAAAAAAATCTTCCTGTGTGGCCTGTAGATATCAGATCTGAAGATTATTAATGCATTTCCAGCCAGGGACCATAAGCAAACAAGTTCTCCTACAGATAACTACACCCTTCCTGTTTGGGATTGAGTTTACTGTGGAACAGATTTCGGAAATAGGTTTCTGACAGTTGTGAATTTTATTTATAAAATGTTGTAGGGTGAGGTTCTTCCTTTAACAAAAACTAATTATTTCCTGTCTAATGCCCAACCAGTACATTTTAAACAGTCTTTTAGAAAATTTACCCCTTCAGAGAGAATTCTGTTGCTCTGGGCAGTTCTGGTTGTTCTTGTCAACTAATGTACAAACATTTGTCTGTTACAATGAATAATTCATAAAGGACTTAAAATTAAAAATAAAACACAATCCTTAAATGCTTGTATTATCTTGTCTCCAGAGTGATAGTTTACAGTTTAAGTAAATACATGAACACATTTTAATGTGTTTGTACCTTTGATATGCAAATCTGTAGCACATTTATGTTCAGTAAATATGCTAAACGAAGAGTTACAGTTTAGGGAAAACAGATTTACATTTAAAGAATTTGCAGGTTAATTCACAGAGTAACATTATCCTCATCTACTACATCTGTTAAAAAGAAGCCTATAAAATTCAGGCCACCCACAAAGTGGTCTGCTGAGGCCTGTGGTTGATGTTAGAATGCTGTTATTATGTGGGCTCACTGGTTTGGTAAGGAATTTACCTCCACTAGGAATGAAACATCATGGTTCTGACTTTCCCCCATGGGGACTGCATTGGCTTGACTTAGGTACTATGTGTTTTTTAAACCAGTCAATGTGCTCTGTTGCCTTGACGTCATATAGTAGTATCATGTGAATGGTGTACTGTTTTCTAAGTTAGTTTGTTAGAGTAGTAATATCAGTTCTGTACCACGTAAACCTTAGGATAAACTGGGATAAATGTTTGGTGTAGATAGCTGAGAAACTTAATGGCTGTTATGATTAAATCTTATCACACACAAACATGTGGGGGCAGGGGCTGAGATGGAGAAAGTAGCTAAGTTTTTACATATTTCAATTTCTGTGTCATTGAAGAACTTATTCTGTTAATTTCCTTGGGGCTTGTGGAATGGTTTTTAAGAGCAAGGAAATGAATTTAGTACAATTTAGCAACCAAGTACTGCGAGTTAAATATTCTTCTTGAAATAGCTATTGTTAAGGGATAAAAAAGTATTGCAGACATTTAAAAAACAACAGCAGCAACTACCACAAGAACTAGTAGTGATCATTGGAGGAATAAAAACTCATAAGCCAAGCAGTGTCTCAAATCTCTTCTTTCTAAAGTTTTTCAAAATGAATAAATCCTTTTTCAGAGAATAAGCATGTTATATTGTTTTCGTTATATTTAGAAAAATTAAAATTCATGTAACAGTTCTTTAAAATCAGGTAATTTGTATTTCACTTTTCATGGATACTTAACTGTAATTTTTCTTTAAATACATGAATTAAAGAGTATGAAAAATAGCATAGAAATCTAAACTGCATTTTGTGACTACAAATCAAGGAAATGATATTTAGTGGGGAGAAAACCTAGCAATTTTTGGACAGGGAATATTATCTAAGTGCCACTGATAAAGATTATATATACATATTGAAGTAAAATATATATATACACACATGTATACATGTGTATGTGTATATGTGTGTGTTTATATATACATATATGTGTGTACACATAAATGAACGTGTGTATATAACACTGTTTTGATCTTAACTCTGCCTTGGTGACTTTAATTGTGGTTAAATATTTATAACTTAAAAAGTTTTTTTCAAATAGATACTTTAGTCTTTGTTGTATACTAAGCAAAATTTTGAATTTGTCATCTGTTCATGATTCAAAGAGTCTGAAGTTAGGGGCTTAGAAACTTTTTTCTTCCAAACAAGCAAATGAATAAAGCCATGAATGTGCCTTAGCAAGCCTTTGTTCTTAGTTCTTCTCTAGTCTGATGTCCTTTATAGTAGACTGCCTAATGCTGACAAATGCCATGCCTAACTTCTGTAGTCAGTGATGTGGCATATCAATGTTTTTCTACTCATTCACGTTGTCAGCAAATCTCAGAAATAGAGGCTTAAATAGCATTTGACAGTAGTGACTACTCAAGGGTGAGGGAGGTTCAGTTTTATTATTGTATCTCCCTTTTAGGCTTCAGCGTCATCATTTTGCTAACTGAATCAGCTCAGTGTTTGGCTAATTATTTTTACTCTTAGCTAACCACAATATATTTCACCTTTCTAGGTTTACCGACAAGACTGTGAAACTTTCGGGATGGTTGTGAAAATGCTGATTGAAAAAGATCCTTCATTAGAAAAGTCTGTACAATTTGCGTTGAGACAGAATTTACATGAAATAGGTGAGCGATGTGTTGAAGAACTCAAGCATTTCATTGCAGAGTATGACACCTCTAGTCAAGATTTTGGAGAGCCTTTTTAGAAAATTACTCGCTCAGGCAACAAAAATGTCTCTAGGGGTTTGTTTGTTTTTTTCCCCTGGATTGTGTAAATCCTTAATATATGGAATTTTTGTGATGAAGAGAAAATACTTTGATAGTTGACTACATTTCCAATGTCAAGAAACATCTAAAATAGTCTAAGATATTTTAATTAGCATTTTTAAAATCTACATGTAGAGCCTCATAATCCATATTTCTCTTTTTCCCCCCTAAAATGATGGGTCAGTTAATTTTTCAAGCTTTGAAAAAGCAGTCCTGGAGAACAGCTCATGTTCTATTGTCTTCTATAGTATGCGATCATTTGTTTTGGTCACACTAGTGTAATTTATTAGGTTAGAGATCATTCCACTTAAAACATTTATGGTCTTTTTGCATTTCATAGTCAGTGTTACCATGTGAAAATGTTAGAATTCTGAGTTGTGATTTTATTGACTTGTTTCTTGCTTATTTTAGGCTTTGTAACTTTTATTATGTTCAAGTATACCATCCAAATAAACTGAATACTTAAGCGTCTACAGAATATTTGCTTTGAGATTCTCATTGTGATAAAATACAGCACTTAAATCTCAAAAAGACCTCATAATAAAATCCTATTTTCCAAGTAAATGAACTCAATGTTTTGTGTTAAAATAATCCTGAAACTCCTAACCATTCTCACAGATATGAGTCTTAAACAATATCATATACAAGAAAGAGAAGGGACAGTTTGAAATAAGAGAGCTCTTTTCAAGTTGAAGTTTCTTTAGAATCTTCTAATTGAAAGAGAAAAATTTAGAATATGAGGGAGTAGTACAGGAGTTTTTTTCCCCAGGCCCATATTTTTCATCTCAAAGAAGGTCCCTGATAATATATCCATAATCAAACCATTTATAGATTATGCCTTTGTTAACCTCTGTTTGTAGTCTTAAGATCTTTGTTCTGATGCCCTTTTTAGGGGTCCTCAAAAGTGTCCTTTAAAGAAACAAAGCAGAGTAGGCAGTAAATCCAGCACAATTACCCCTCACCAAGCAGTCTATGTAAACAGTTCTTCATGAGTGAGCCATCCAAATCACGAGTTAACTGGGACCATTAGGATATTCCACTCATTTCCTGATCCCTTCCAGCTGACCAGTGGCATTTAGCCAAAATATGTATTTGTGTGGCATTAGGAAACCTTAAAAATCATGCTTGTTATTACTACCCAGTTTCATTATCCCCCCATCCTCTTTCCATTTCCATTCTCTTCTCACTTAAATTCTGGTGTTATCTTTAGTGGCCTATATTGATAATATCTAAAGAGCTACTCCAGAAGAGATAAAAATTATATTAAAAGTAGAAACAGCAGTACATTTGGTGAATCCTATAATATGTATTATGCCATTCCTCAGATGTAAAAACTACTTGAACACAACAATTATTTTCTTAAGTTTCCTATATGAGATTTCCTTGAACTCTTATTTTTTGCCATTTAGATATTGTACATAAAACTAAACCCCACATGTCACCTCTGGTAGTCTAATTCCCTAATTATGAACAGTGATTTTATTTGTTACCCACTGAGAAAGACCAAGAAAGTACTGATACTGTTTCTTCCCCTACCCCCTTGTTTTTCTTTTCCTTAAATATTCTGATTCCAGGGTTTAATTCCTTTAGTCAAGATGTCACATGTTTAAAAATAAAAGTTAAGACACTACCACCAAGGCAAAGGATTTGTTCATTTTGTTGAAATTCATTAAACTGGAAATTCATTCAACTAGAGGTTTTACTTACAGACTCATTTAAATGTAGGTTCAACCAATACTTTCTTCTTCTCCCCTTCCCCCAAATTACATTCAACACTTAAAGCTGTTTATAGCTTGCTATCAGCATTATTCTGGTAGGCTTGTCAGTGTTAAATCTGTTTGTTTTTGACAGCTTTTTAAAGACCAATTTTAGGATAGTTGAATTCAGATATGTACCAGAGTGTGTATTTTGCAAAATGTTCTTGATTAAACAAATTTGTAAATTATCCATTGTTTTTGAGTATGCCCAATTGATATGATAAATTTTTCATTGTCTTACCATAAAGCCTTGATGATCAACAGGGAGAAAGCACTATTGTGAAGCTTTTTGTGAATTTTAAAAGTGCAAAATAAAGCAACTAGGTTTAAATAATTGGATTGTCTTTTTTTTCTCTTTAACAGGCTTAAAGTATTTTCCTGAAATGTAGATTTTTATTACTCTCTATTGCAAGATTACTTAATGTTCAGTTTACCTACTCAGCAGCAGGATGGAAGAACTGAGAAACCATTAACTTTGGTGACTTAAGGTGTTGTGATATCTGAGCAAGCAAACAAGATAAGATTGAGCACACAGAAGTGCTCAATAATTGTGTAATTATGAATCTAAGTTTCGGAAATAGTAGGATTAAAATCCTACCTCTGTATAGTAACCTCTGGAGGAACCACATCTTTGTGACCCAATTCCTAGCACAGTTTGGAACGTTGTAGGTACTTGTCTTCATTGACACTTCACAAAAGAAGTGACATTTGACTCCTAGGTCTAGGACTTATTCAGGCAGAGAAGGGGACGTAATAGAAGTCTAGGAAGAGGGGAATGGTATAGGGAAAGATACAGGCCTGTATGACTGAAGCTGGTTGGGAAAGATGATGGGCAACAAATGTAGGAAAAGATAGGTTGACAGCAGAATGAATGATTCTGAGTGCTTGTAGCTTTATCCTTTCTCTCCTACCTATTCAAGAATAACATTTTAAAATACTGCCTTTGAAAATACTACCTTTATGTTTATTTTTGCCAAATATATTGATTTCTCACAGCCCCTCAGCCACTTAGCAACTCTGAGCCTGTTTATAGACCCAGAACCTCTTGAAGAAAGGGAAAGCCAGCTCCCCTTCAGAAAGGACTCCGCATGCACTGCCCAAATATTATACACTGGTTTCAGCTTCATTTCAGAGTTGCCTGCAAGGGAACCTAAACTCCAAAGCAAGCTGTAACAGTTCTTTGGTGCAACTTTGGAGATGATGATCTTGTCATCCCTGAAGTATTCGTGGTGGACAGTATTCAGTGTTGAGGGCAGCCGGCCACCCAGGTGACTTTGTAACTGTAACACTGTTCAGCCTGGCACCTGGAGCTCCTGTGAGTAATGGCCACACTCTGCTGGCCAGACCAAGGTTTGCGGGTGATGCACAATACATTTACCATCTCCTTTCTGCCTGTTCTCTTGAGAGCACTGATGTTACTCAATTCAGTGAAACAAAAAAGAAAAAAAAAGGTGGCGCTGGAAGGAATGACTAGTAACTAAGACAGTTAGCAGAATCTTTTCTGCTGCTTTTCATGGTAATGGAGTTGAAATAGAGTCACATGACTGCCTCATTAGGACTACATTTGCTATATTCCCCTTTGCAGTTAGGTGTGACCAAGTGGCTAAGTCCATTCCTATGGAGTCTGAGTGGAAGTATTTCTCTTATGAGCTGGGACCCTTAGGACAGTAGATAGGCTCCTTTGTGCTCTCTTTTCTCCCTTCCCCAAAGTAGTAGCCATAGGTACTCAACCTTGATTTGTTGCAGAGCCACAAGATGGAAGAAACTTGGATCCCTGCATAACCACATAGAATACCAAACTGTTAATGTGACAGAGGAATAAATGTCCTCGTTGTTTGAGCCACATTATTGGTTTTTTTCTTAGCAGCTCACCTTTTTTCAAATTAATGTAAACGGTATTTGAGGGTTGGCTTCACTGAAGTTGGCTCTCAGGAGGCTGTACCAGTCCTGCCTTTCCATTGTAATAATTGATCTTGCAGTAATGGTGACCCTTTATATAAACTTTGTCAGTCCACTGAGTTAATTCCAAGTTCTATTTAAAATCTCACTTGATGACAAGTATCATTAAAGACTGATGCACGTTTGTATAGCAGTAGAGGCAGCCTGATGATACAGCACATCATTTTTTGAGCTCTGTTCCCAAAGATGAATAGTGTTTCTAATGTTAGACCATTATCACTAAAACTGTATAGGGTTTTAAAGTTTTTTTCACTGTGTATGTGTGAGTGAAAAGGTAGAGGTTTATTGAAATAAGAACATTTGAGAACATATAAGATAGAAAGTAACCACAACATCTGCAGACATTTGCTGCAAGGGGACGTCTGAGGTATGTACCCACTACTTAGGCTGCCCATGTGCTAGCACATTTTTCCTGGTTGGAATACATAGAAGATGGGGAGGGGACAGAGCTGCCCTGGCTACTGACCATATAACCTGCAGGTCTGCACCTTCAGGAAAGTTTCTCCTGCCCAGGGCCGAGTTCCTGGGGGCACCTGCTGGTACCCTCATTCTTGGTAGAGAGGTGGAGATCCTACTGTTGTTGTTGGGGACAGTGAGCATTCACTGAGCGGGTAAGTCTGGGCAAGCTACCTGGGGAAAGGGAGAGGATCCAATGACCAGAAGAGTGTGCGGTCCCATCATCCTCCAAGTGGGAAGACTCCTATCCTTTGTGATCAAACCCCTGAGAAAGACACACTGGCCAGATGTCTGCAACACCTTCAAGCAGGCCCAGCACCAGCCAGCTGGGTTCCTCTCTGGCACCAGATCCCAGGTGCCCTTCTCTGCCCACACCCTATGCTTGCCTGGTGGGGAGGGTGGAGAAGGCTTCTGAAGCCAGAATAGGGTCAGCCTCCAGTAGATGGGAAAGTATGTGTGTGTTGTGTGTTATGGAGGGTTGGGGGAGGGGAGAGAGAAAATGCAGTTCAATAGCACTGTAGCTTTCCAGGCTGGGGTATCTGTTTTGTGCTCAAGCTTTTGATTTCCTCCCCTCTCCTTTTCTAGATAGGACTGAACATTAGCAACCTGAGGGCTCCTGCCGGCATGTCCTCCCACCACAGCCTGACAACACCATAGTGGGTGGTGGTCTGTGAACACTGCAGGGCTTACTCGTTCGAGAGGTGAGCGCTGTGTGAGAATCACATTTTCTTTACCATATAGGAGCAGCCTGTCCCCCCCACCCCCACCCCGAGAGTCCAAGAGGAGAGACGGGAGTTTCCTCAGCATCTCCTCATCCCCTGGGATGGCTTAACCTCTGCAAGGCCTATGGCCTCCATGGCCTGCCTTTGTCCTGAGGTGGGGATGTTGAATGAAGGGGAGAAATCCTGCCCGCACCTTGGTAAGCTGGGGTTAGGGGTACAGAACTAGCCCTGCTTTGGCAGAAATTTCCTATTTTTTTAAACTTTGTATTCTACTTCTGTAAAGTAGAATCTTAGTGTATTATATTGGATGTAGGTTAAAATATATTTCAGGTTTATCAAATACTTTGTAAGATTCTGAAAAACACCATGTATTGTTATTTCACTACCTGAACAAGGTTAGAACCACCTTTGTAGTGTCTTTTGAGTCATACTTTCACATATAATAAGCCAATGGAGATTGTATTCTCCTTTTACAGTCAGGAGCAGAAGTTATGACTTGCATGAAGTCATATAGCTGGAAGTGGCAGAGCCAGAGTTTTACCCAAATCTTTCAACTCTAAAGTCAGTGTTCTTAGACGAAGTGGAAAGTTTGGTGGTCATTCAGAACTAGGTTAAAATCCTGACTCCTGCACACACTGGCTGTTTGATGTATGTGCAGTTAATGTCTAATGTAACTGAATGGCTACTATAAAAATAACTCTACCGAAAGCTTTTGAGAAAATTCAAATCCTAGTTCAGTAGATTTTTCTTGTTTTTCATTTTATCCTCAGTTGCTACTACCTTCCATATTGGTTCCTAGGACTTCTGTTTTGGAGCTATTTTATGAGCTTCACCAGGGGTAGTTACGAGGTAAGCAGCACGTAGGGCTACAGCCCTCACGGCCACAGTGTGGCCTAGGGCTCAGCTTTTCGACTGCTATATCCCTGGACCCATGGTGAAGTTTGAGAAGAGCCATTTAAGTGGCATGAACTTGGTAATTCAACTCTCCCTTTCTAGGAACCAAGATTAATTAAACCAAGTTAACACCTTTTCAGCTTTGCTTACATGTTTAGAGATTCAAGAATAAGATTACTACCAGTAGCAGCCCTCGAAGATGTAGAAAAAAATCTCATCCTTCTGATAATTGGAGAGAAATAACATGAGGGAGGAAAATATCTTGCCTCCCAACTGTCTACTTGATGAAGACAAAGCCAGTTTGAAGCATATGCCCTGGTAGGGAAGTAAGCATCCTCAGACTTTTCCCCCATGATTTGGTTTAGCTCATGCCCACTGAGAGTCCAAAGCATTAATAGAATAATAAAAAATTAATAGACAAAAGCCCCAACCCTTTAAAATTCCCTACTCCTGTGAGTTCCCAGCTCCCTCTTTGGAGGGATCATCCTTTCAGGGATCATCATACCAAGTATGTTGGTAAATGAAAGAGTCAAAGGGAAAAACACTTTATGCTGAAAGACTCTTCTGACCTATAAATTCAGTCTCCACAGAATACTGAAGCTGGGAGGAAACCTCTGAGATGGTCCTGCAACTTCTCATTTTACAGAAGTAGAAACTGGGTTGGAGCACTTAACCTGCTTGAGTTAATGAGAGAGGTGGGTCTCCTAACCCAGATCTCCTGAATCCCGGCATCCAGTGGGCTGGGCACCACTCTGCAAGATCAGCTTTGTGTTGATATGTATTAGATTAGTAACCGTCCAGATTCTTAACAGTTGTTTGGAATCAAATGTTTTCAGAGAATGGGCTGCAAGTTACATTTAAATTGGCATCACAGCACCTTGTGCACACAGAGCAGTAAAGAAATGTGCCATTTCCTTTGCAAAAAGAAAAGCTGAGGCTAAAATTGATGCCTAAGATGGGAATACTTGACCAACTAGCTGGTTCTGTTCAAAAACAACAATCAATCAGCCCTCATCCTGCGGCCAAGTCTGTATTTATCCAATCTTTTTGTTCCATATGTCCTTCCCACTTTGTGAAAGCTACTATTAAACTTTATTCCCCCGGTGAAGTTTGATTCTGTGACCTTGGCAAAATGTGAGCTCAGAGGTGCAAAATTCAGTTGCTCCTGCTCACGTCTCCTTGGCCCAGTTTACCTGGGAACCTTCCTAATGTGTTCGCAGAAAGCCCATGTGACTGTAAGAAGCATGCCTCCCATTTTCAGATAGCTCCAGAGAATGACTAGCAAATGGAACCAGGCAATACACGATGTTCTCATTTGACTAATTAAAAGGATTTTTATCGTAACTGTTATCAGCATTGATGAGGCTCTTAGAATTTTTTTAATATGTTTTTCTCCTCTGTGCATCAGAAAAGGTCACAAGTATTTCTGTAAACAGTAATTGTGCCTCTCCTCATTAGCTCTGAGGGATAGGGGCATCACCTTCAGGCTCCAGAATATATAACTCATGCATTGGAGATTTGCTGACGGCAGGCTCACTGGTTCAAAGTGTTTCAGAAATGTTTGAATTAGCTGGTAACATTTAAAAGCTAGGAGATTTGGCAAAAGTTTAAATTCCTGGTTTCTAAAAATGTGAAGGGAGGTCTAAGCAACACTGGTTCTCTCCATGACAGTAGTCAAGTGCCCATTAGAAAAGAGAAGCTCGAGAAACCAAAGTATGCCCATGCTGTGTTAATAATATCTGTGCTAAAATCCTCTGGGCACTCAATACTTTCAGGACCCATCACCCAAGAACCAAGTGGAGCAGGGAAGCGTGCCATACCTGGAAAGCTAGCGGACTTGGGTGCCCTTCTAAAGATGGCCCATGATTTGGATCTAAAGTAAGAGGGTTAGAGAGCAAATAATACCTCCTTTTACTTCTGGTGCTTTTTATTTAACTCAAGAACTAGAAGGCAGAGCATAAAGTATAGCAAATGCATACACAAAATGAATTATGTTCTTTTAATGAGGGCTGAAAGGAGTCCCCCTTGACATTTTATCAGTGCCCCTTCATGGGCTGTAAGCAAAATGTTCTCCAGTTTGCTCTGAAGTGCAGAAAAACACAACAAGTAGGGTTCTGCCTCACACATGTAGAGGTTAGAGACAGTGTTTTAACATTGGATATTTATCTTGGGACCTGACCAGATACTTTGCACTCTCATTAACTGAATCTGTGAATACCTGTTAGTGACTGCATGCTTACTGTTCTCACCTAATTCTTGAGAGAAGTGCAAGGCAGTGGTTTCTTTGCAGCTAGTCCTTTCTTTGCTACTAAGACTTAGAAGCTTTAAAGGTTACGTTATTATCATGAGTAAATAGTTCTGCATTTCCTTAAGCCTTTAGCATAATCTATATAACCCTTACATAAGGAAATAAAAAAATAGGGAGACTGTTGCCAGAAGCAAAAGGAACTAATCTTTTGACAGTGACTTAAAAACTACCAAGGACGGTGACTTCAGCTTCCACCACTTCTCCAGGCTGTGTATTACTGTTTACTATTTATGATTCATCTTTTATAAGCAGTCTTTTCAAAAGGATAACCACTGTTTGCGGCATAGGTTCTGAGGAGGTCTTTAAAAGGGAGATATCTGCTAACATGTTCTGTGAGATTGTAATGGAACAAGCACTCTCCTACATTGTTAGTGTAAATGTTAATCAGGCAGATTGCTTTGGAGGAAAATTGGTGATATCCATCCAAATTTTAAATACATAACTTCTGTCCCAGGAATGCTGCTGCTCAGAATTTATGTGCAGATGTGCCAGTGCAGGATAAGGTATCTATGCGGAGTTCAAGTCCATCACTAAGGTCCTGGTTAAGTCAGTTACGGTGTATTATGCCATCATTGAAAAAATGAGGTAGACCTATTTGTGCTAACATGGTATGTCCACATATAAAGTGAAAAAAGCAAATCTAAGCATATATACTTTGCTACCATTTTAAAAGAGATATTTATATATGCTTTGAACATCTAAAGGACACAGTAGAAATGACTAATAGTGGTTACTTCTGGAAAGGGATGTGAGGCACTAGGGATGAAGAATGGAAAGGAGACACTCCGCTGTCTTTGAGTTTGTTTTTTTTTTAACCAGATGCATGCATTTCCTTTTCACTGCTGCTATGTTTTTCAAAATGAACCAGACCAGGGAAATAATGATATATTGTTGAGTAAGGCGCTCTCCCCCCACCCCGGTTGTGTGCTTCTCTAGGAGCACAGCTACAAAGCCTTGCCCTAGTCAGGGATGGATGTTAGGGGATGCTAGACCACTGGGGCTTACCTATTGGATTCATATCCCCCTCCCCCAAGGCCTAACAGCTTTTCCCCATTCCAGTAAAGATGGACAAGTTTGTCTCTGTGCCTCAGGTCCTATTTCACACCTATTAGTAGGGGCAGGGGATATGCAGGAGTCAACCACGGCCTGTTAATGGTAGAAGAATGGCAAAAGAAATCATGCCAGAACAGAGGAGCAAAATGGAAGTTACCTGGATATGTTTGCAAAGATCTGTTCAGAAAGGTAGTTTGTTATTTATTAAGCATTTATTAAATAACTTCCTAAAGGTCCAAGATACACTAGGACCTTAGGACTGAATCATATGTGCAAGAATGGCACATAACAAAGTATCAGCTCATCAGTTCAACTCCAAGATAATTTGCCCTTGAAATAGAACCTCATAAACTTGAAGTAGTCAGTGGCACCGCATTCTCTGAAGATTTTAAAAGAAAAACATAACCCGAAGGCCCAGTTTTCAAAATTGCTGTTCAAGGCCAACAAATTAGCTGGAAGGGAGGGGATAAAAAGGAATAGCCTCTCTTCAAATAATAAATCTACAGAATCCTCTGCCCTATACAGCAGATCCTTGTAGTTTTGGTCTCTTCCCAGGAAATAATCACCACTTTGTTGAAAATGGGAAAGGCACCCCCTACCATCCCCAAAGGGGAAAAAAAAACATTCACCCAAACAACTTCTACTTGTTTTTACCATATATTCCAGGGATATGTATGGGTTTGTTTTTACATTTATACAGTTTACATTGCTTGACCCATAAATAGCACTCGTAAGATTAATAGGGCCATAGTTTTAAAGAGTATTTACATAGCCCCACCATGCATACAGAGCCTTTTTAATATTGAAAAATCAAAAAATTTAAGCTTTCCATCACTAGGCAATATAAATTTGACCATCTAAGCTTATAAACCCTGACTAAAATACAAGCAATCATTTCATCCATAAATGCTGTTTCTGGTTCCCCAACAAATCTAGCACTGCAGTGTAACAAACGTCTTGCAATTCAGGGATATAAAAATATCAGCTTTAAAATCTGAACTGTACATATGTACATTAATATTTGCACCGTTAAATTAGGAATACACTTAAGTCTATGAAATACTACATTATAAATAGCAATGTCTTTTTCAATCTGTAGCTGGAGCTAATACAATGCACTGTTTACCTGGCTAACTGAAAGGGGACGAGGTGGTCTCGTACAATGGGATGCACAGAATTGGCTGGGTCAGTGTGACTACGTGCATGCCGCATAACAAGACAGACTGATCAGGACCTGGGCCAACCTGGTGTAGACAAACGACAAACACTATCGCTTTACAAAGGTGGCGGAAGTTCTCCATTGTCTAAAATCAACCCCCCTGTCCAATCACCTCGTGACAGTTTCTTGAGGATTCTCTTGAGGATTGGAGACCAAAGCCGCTACATAGAACTGTAATGCACCTGGCAGGCACAAGATGTCACATCAAACTGGCACCATCCAAGGAGGGCAAACTGGAGAAATCACACCTTCCCAATGTTAATCTGACACTGTAAACAGCAGCAGGGGTCTCATTTACATGGCTAAAGCACTTTAAACTATTTTAGCAACTTTCCTACGGAAGAAAAAAGATATGCTTCAAGATGGTTAATGGCAAAGTTTAAACATGATCTCCACAGCTACTAGATTAAGAAATAATACAGTTTTTGCCCTTGGGTCCCTTTTTCTTCTTGGCTTTAGTTGTCCTCTGACCAAACTGAGGACTGGGGAGTACAGAAGTTGGGCTCGAAAGGTCATCTGTGTAGTAGGCGTATCTCTGGGGCCGGGGTTGAGGAATTGGTTGTCCAAGAAAATATCCTTCTTCTTCGGAGTCAGAGGAGGAGGAGGTGGAGGAACACCAAGAATCATCGTCCTCACCGTAGAGTCCCAGAAACCTAGGCCCTCCCGGGTTCTGGAGAGCGTAATCGGAGGTGGCATGGGCATACCGTCCGTACAGATCAGCATTCTGGATGTATGCTTGGATCTCCCGGGCACTTTTATTCTGTATAAATTTCTCGTAGTTATCAGGGGTGTAAAGCCGCAGCCTATCCTTGGGAGAGTATTTTCTTTCTGCAACAAGATTCAGAGCATTGTCAGAGCGGGACTTCCTACTTCTCCTGCGGCGATGGTGATGAGACCTGGATCCCCTCTCTTCGAAATGGTAGACCCGTCTTCGAGTCCTCTCACTCATCGGAGGCTGCCGGATTTCGATGTTGTCATAGTTTCCGTTGTCGATGACATCATCCGAAAACTTGACCTGCTGTGGTCTGGACTGAGACTTGGATCTTCGAAGCACAGGCAGATGCACCGGTTTCTCCTCAGGCCTGATTTTTTCTGGACACAACTCTGAACTTAGACTCTTCAAGGACTCTGCACTCCTGTGCAGCATGGAAGAGTTCAAAGTCCCCATATTGCTCATTTTCTCACAATCCTCTCCCTCCATCTCCTCAAAGTTTTGCAGGGAATACAACGAGGGTCTCGGCTTGCTTTCTCCATCCACTGAAGCCCCTAGGAGAAAAGCCAAGCCAAGATGTGATCTTCTGACAATTATTACAAACAAGCCACTGAAAGGAAGCATTTCAAAGAAAATTCTCCCAAATTTCAATATTTGATTAACACCCACTAGGTAAGGCCAACATGCATATATATACTTAATTGAGAAGGTTTGACCTTTTTTGATACAAGGGGCACAGTCTCTTTACAAGCCCAGCTCTTTTGGAGCCAGACGTTAATGATAGCACATGTCATGAGCAGCAAAAATTTTAAGCTCTTCATAAAAGTCTCATTAGTTTATGTAGAACATGACACGTAGAAGCTTCTGCCTCTCAATACATGTAAGCCAGACTACTTCACTTGAACATCTCTCAAATCAATCCCTTCCTTTGCCTCCACATGGCCACCCCACCATTATGGTCCTTTTATACCTAGATTAGTGGTCAGCACACCACAGCAAGGGCCATGTCCAGCCCACAGCCTATTTGTGGGTAAAGTCTCACTGGAACACAGCAACACCTACTCGCTTACACGTTGTCTACCGCTGCTTTCTGCAGTGACAGAGCTGAGGGGCTGCAACAGACTGTGTGGTCCAGCAAGTACCACCTAGCCCTTTATAAGAAGTCTGCCAAGCCCAGACCTGGATCATCATCACCATCCAGTCTTCCTCCTTCACCTATATGAACTATGCCACTTACAGATTAATCTTACTTTAATAAAGCTTTTCTCAAAATGGATACTGCTCTCCTTTTTTAACAAGGCCCAGGCAAATGAAATGAATATAGCCCAGCCGACAGCAAGTGACCAGGGCATGGTGCAGACTATTGTCAGCTGGAGACTACTTCCTACTTTCTAGAGGGAGCCTGTTTCTCAGCCTGTTATTGTCAAGGAATGTTCAGCCCTAACACTTTATACCAAATGATGTCTGCCTTTGACACTAAATGTTAAAACACCTACCACAGGGCCTAGCCAACAGGATATGCTTAATTTAGTCCCACCCACATTCCTTAACTCCCCTTTGTTGTAGGCCTTATCTTTGACGAGTCCAAAAGAAACCAGGAGGATAGCGGTCTTATTCCTCCTTGCTACGGTTATTCCTGACACAGGCCAGCCACTAAAGCCTTTCCTGTATTACAGTAACACAGCCTTTATGAGAGGACGGAATGTCATTAGCTTGACTATAAAACTAGCCACAGCCTTTGCTAGCTATAGGCCAGTAATATTTCTATATTCAAAGACTTAAGGCAAATGTGATAGGAAGGGTGGATTCTAGGCTCAGTCTTGCCTTTATTATTTTTTTATTATTATTATTATTTAAATTTTATTTATTTGAGAGAATGAGAGAGAGAGAGAGTTGGGTCAGAGGGAGAAGCAGACTCCCCGCTGAGCAGGGAGCCCGATGCGGGACTCCATCCCGGGACTCCAGGATCATGACCTGAGCCGAAGGCAGTCGCTTAACCAACTGAGCCACCCAGGCGCCCTTTATTATTATTTTTAATTATGTCAGTCTTGCCTTTAAAAATGTATGTGGTAGGGGGTGGGAGGGATGGGGTGGCTGGGTGATAGACATTGGGGAGGGTATGTGCTATGGTGAGCGCTGTGAATTGTATAAGACTGTTGAATCACAGACCTGTACCTCTGAAACAAATACATACATTAAAAAAAAAAAAAAGGATAGTAGGAAGGGAAAAATGAAGGGGGGGAATCAGAGGGGGGAGACGAACCATGAGAGACTACGGACTCTGAGAAACAAACTGAGGGTTCTAGAGGGGAGGGGGTGGGGGGATGGGTTAGCCTGGTGATGGGTATTAAAGAGGGCACGTACTGCATGGAGCACTGGGTGTTATATGCAAACAATGAATCATGGAACACTACATCAAAACTAATGATGTAATGTATGGTGATTAACATAATAAAATTTAAAAATAACATGTCAAGTTAGGCACTTAGCCTCTTGATAACTGTAAAACACAGGAGGTAATAGCTATAGCTCAGGATCATTTTGTGGATAAAATGTAGATAGCTGATATGAATATGCTTTGGAAACAAAGTGAAATTTTATTATCTGGGTAAAAAAAAACATTCAGCTATTTTTGAGCTATCTGTTGCCACAGGGCAATTAAGGAAAATATAAAAGATGCTAGGAGCTTAAAAAATACACAGGCTGATTTTAGTATCTTGAAATTCATATAGCACAATCCAAAGAGTACAGATCTTTCAGACAAGACACAGACTCCATTATCCAAATAAATCCATTTCCTCCGGTTTCAAATGCAGATAATGCCTACTCAAAAAGCTTGTATTAAAATGTATATAGATGCACACATGTATGCACACATTTGTTAGTGTTTGGCATTTAATGTAAACTCCTCCCTTCCCTTGGTCTGCAGTTTTAAATAATGTGGCCCCTACTGCTGAACCTAGTTTGTCGAATAAATTTTTTAGTGGCTTTTTCTAAATACCCCATAATCCCTAGATTACGTACCTGTGATATTAGATAAAGCCAAAGAATCCATAGAATCTCGAACACTTTGCTCTGGTTTCAAGTCTGACAAACACTCCAGGGAATCTTCATACCACTGTGTTTGATCATGGTTATATCCTGCAGCCCCATGGTCCAGATCTAACTCCTGGAGCCTTCTACTGCTTGCAGGGCCTGGGTGGCTGCCATAAGCAGAATCACCCAGTCCATCTTGGGACTGTGCCCAATACATATCAGATTGGTATTTTTTACTTGCAAGGCTCTGGTTATTTTGCTTTAACTCGGTCTTATTTTTAACCATGTTATCAGATATCCAATGCTCACTGGCTCGAATATCTATCTCATTGGGCTGCTGCTGAAAGAGGCTTTTATCACCAAACTTGAGGAGGAGCTGCGTCATATAATCTTCATGCTCAGCCCATTCTTCAGGCTCTTCTGGGGTTTCGTGCTCCACTCTGCCTTTCCAAAATTCTTCACTGACAAAACTTGCTCCCTGCCTGGAGAGACTCAGATCATCCAACTTCCGAGAAAGGGTGTCATCAGCATTGCCTGACAGGCCAGGAAACTTGTAGTTCAGAGCAGGGGACAAGAGAAGAGACTGTCTACACTGATCGGCTGACCGACTGCTTTTGCCCATCCGGACACTTCTTCTAGAGTCTCTGGATCGAGCGGACTGAAACGCAGAGTCGGAAGAATCAGAGGCGTGGACGTCTTCACCAAGGCTGCATGTTTTTGAGCAATAAATCTGGCCTTGTTTGGGAAGGAAGGGACACCCCAACAAAGAAGCTTTACACTGGGCACAAGAAAAGCAGGCTTCTGTGGCGTGCCAGTGCTGCCCATCGTACGTCATCTGGGCATGGTCAACCCCTGTTTTGGAAAAGAACAGAGGAGGAGGTTACGGTTCGATCTTGAAATGAAGGAAGAAGAAACGGACAAGACTATTTGTATGAGGGAACTCTAAGGGTGATGGAAATGTTCTGTATCCTGAAAGGATTGTGGGTCACACAGGTACAGTTAATTCTCATTATTTGCAAATTCCGTATTTTTGAATTTGCCTATTTGCTAAAATTTATTTGTAACCCCGAAATCAACACTTGCAGAGCTTCAAAGGAATTTTCAGGCACGTGCAGAATGACAAAAAATTTGAGCCAGCTGATCTGCATGTTCTCAACAAGCTTAGCTCAAACAAAGCAATGTCTTGTCTTTTGTCTCAGCTCCTTAAACAACTGACATAGCCTGGGTCTGTTTTCTCTTTCTTCTATTTTCTACTATCATGTTTTCTTCATTTGTGTGCTTTTTGTTAATTCTGCTGTTTAAAATGGTCCCGAAGCATAGTGCCGAAGTGCTGTATAATGTTCCTAAGCCCAAAAAGGCTGGGCTGTGCCTTCCAGAGAATATATGTGTCCTAGAGAAGCTTCATTCAGGCATGAGCTATAGTGCTGTTGGCTAGTTCAGTATTAATGAATCAGTATATATTAAATAAGGTGCCTTCAAACAAAAACATACAGGAAACAAGATTATGCGTTGATCAGCTGATGAAAATGTGACCAGAGGCTTGGAGGAACCCAACCCTGTATTTCCCCCCAGGAGCAATGGTTCTGTACTCAATAATTCAGGCAACCTTACAGAACACAACTATTACAAATAATGAGAACTGACTATCTGTCAAAGCGCAACACAGAAAAACATTTAAGATCTGTACATTTCACTGTATGTTAAGTTACAGGGAAAAAAAAAAAAGACTAGCCATTCGCAGACAGACTGTTGGGCATGTGACAGAGCAGATAGGCTGGCCGTGGACTCACCGATATGCTCCCCACAGGCTTCACAGTACTCCGCGTACAGGGACTCAAAACAGCTGCAGCAGAACGGGCGGCCATCCTTCATGATGTACCTCTGTCCTCCCAGGGCTGTCTCACACTCAAGGCAGCAGAAGTGCTTCATGTGCCAGTGGCGACCCTCGGCTTCTGTGCACTCATCAGCAAAAATGATCTTTAAAAAGAAACAGGATGAAAGAAGATCTTAGCAAGCTATTCTAAAAGCCAGGTAACTGCAGGTTTTCTGGGCAACTGACAGACGGTGGCTCTTCAAAAAGCCACTTAGCTAACCTTATTTCTTACAGCCTCAAGCTTAAATCTAACTCGATTTAGATACAAAGCAAGAGCAGAAATTGAAAATGTTGAAAAAGAGAAACTTAGTGCCTGCTTAAACTTTAAAGAAACAAACACATGCAGATTTCTACACTGGAAAGAATTCATTTGGTCATATTTTTGCTCCCCAACCACACTTCGTTGGCATAATCTGGCAAAGAATACATTAACATTGAAATAATTTAGTGGTCTGTGTTTTAATAGAAAACTCATTTAAAAAGTCTGCAGAATCACCAGTTACAGCTATCCAGATGCTGCCCTGTGTGAACAGCACTTGTAAATACTGCTTCATTTGACCTGGTGGATATTTCCAGATTAAAGACTGGTTTTTATAATTTTGGTTTCAAAAAAAATTTAAGATTTATTTGAGAGAGAACATAAGCATGGGAGGGGAGAGACGGAGAGTTTTTTTAATTTTATTTATTATGTCAGAAAGAGGGAGAGCACAAGCAGGGGGAATAATAGTAGGCTCCCCGCTGAGCAAGGAGCCCCATGTGGGACTCAATCCCAGGACCCTGGGATCGTGACCCGAGCTGAAGGCAGACGGTGAACGATGGAGCCACACAAGCGTCCCGAGAGAGCCTTAAGCAGACTCCACAGGGAGCCCAATGCAGGGATTGATCTCATGACCCTGACCATCATGACCAGAGCTGAAACCAAGAGTCAGATGCTTAACTGAGCCACCCAGGCGCCTCTCAAAAAATTTTCAAATAGCACATTACTGAAAAAAAACTTTAAAAAATAAATGTATAAAAGTAAACACTGAAAGTTTACTGTCACTGATTAAAGGAGACTGAGGAGATATAAGGAATAAATGCAATGAGGTACCCTGGATTGGATCTTGGACTAGAAAAGAGACATCAGCAGAAAAACTGGAAATCTAAATAAAGTCTGTAGTTTAGTGAATAGTATTAGACCAATGTTAATTTCTTAGTTTTGATGCATACACCGTCGCTATGTAAGATGTTAATAGTAGGGGAAGCTGAAGGGAGGGTCTACAGAACTGTCATCTCTCCAACTCTTCTGTAAATGTAAAATTACTTTAAAATAAAAGGCTTAAAAAAAATTCCTTTCACACCACCATCCCTTCCCCACATGCCCCAAGGGTAACCACTGTTAACTCAGTGTATGTCTTTCCATACTATTTCTGTGTGTACACAGATATGTATAGAACTTTAACTTATTCTCCCTTTATGTAACAAAAAGATTATCTACCACGTACTCTACTTGCAACTTGTTTTTTTCCCCCTCTCACAATCCATCAAGGACATCCTACTTATCAAGGCACAAAGACACCTGCTACCTTCTCTTTATTAGCTACATATTATTCCACTATATGAATGTATAGGGTTATCTTAAACAGCAAAAGCAGGAGATATTTTATTTTGCTTAGATGTGAACAGTGGAATATTGGCTGACTAAAAGCTTATTTTTCCCAGTGTTAAGGGATAAACTTTTTTACCTCATCACATGCTGAACACCGTGGTTTCAGCAGTTCAGCATGGTGCCTGCCACAGTGAATTTTTCCATCCTGATAAAAATAGATGAGGTCGACCAGCAGCTCGTTACAGGTGAAGCAGACAAAACAGGAAGGGTGCCAACACACTCCAGGGCCCGCACGGGAGGCAAACACTGCAATTTCACCTCCATTTATCTTCAACCCACACTAAAACAAAAGGATTTGAAATTGGGATGATCCTTCTTTGATGACTGGGTTCTCAGCCTTTCCCACTTTACACCAAATCCCATTTTGTCAAGAAAGCTTTTATTTTTGCCCCCTCCTGTTAGTGATTAAATAGCTCTTTAATGCTGGACTATTTCTGATTCTTAACTGGAATGAACATGCCTCAGGTATACTGCCACGCTGCTAGACTGTTTCGAAGAATGGTTTCACCCAACTCCCCGTAAGAGTCGTTTTCCTGAGCCAGCCTCCTATTGGATACATTTCCTGCTGAGCCAGTACAGATCTGAATGTCTTCATTCTGTTTCTGCAGTTTTGAACACTAGGTGTACCCCTGCACTTCCCTCCACGCCAAGATCCTTTTAGAAAAGGCAGCATTTCACCCGACGTTTACCTAAGGGCAGCCGGATGACCCCCCTGCCCCCCGTCATATAGACACAGTAGTGGAGCTATAAATGTGAATACCCCCTTAATAAAAAGCTAGGCTGCCTTTTATTTGGGGGAGGTTTTTGGGGCCCACACCTGTGCTAGCCTGTCACCTACCCCCAAGCTCACTCCGTCCCCATCACTACCACGAGCTACTCAGCCCGGGAAGGGCTACCTGCTCGCACACGGCATGCATCGCTGCTCGGGACAAAAGCTTGATCGCTCCTCTTCCAAGAGCTTCTTTCTTCCGCTGGGCACTGAACACCTGCAGTTCTTTCTTCTCCTCTTCGCTCAGAGACTGGCAGTACCGCACCTTCAGAGACAGGAAAATAGACGCACCACACTGGAGAGCACAGTCTCCCTCGCCACTTCTTCATTTCCAGAGTTCGAGTTTCAGGAAAGAGCAAGTTTAACTGCCCTGTCCCGGGAATCCCCAATTTAAAAATGGCACTATACCTTTCAAATGACACCCAACCTTGCAGCCTCTCTAGCAAAAGGGAAATGCAATTTGAAGGAACTATCTTTTTAAAAAAAAATAGGGAAGGTTTAAACTTTTTTCAGAGACGCTAAAAAAAAAAAAAGTAAGACATTAACCTTCCTACAAAAGGTTGAAACTTGTTACTTGGCACACTCATTCTACATTCTACAGGCACCGACTGCAGGCCTGAACTATCAGAAAGCAAGGACTCTGGATGAAGGGGCAGGGAAATCTCAAGAGTTGGTAGGATCCTGATAAGTGGTGGGTGGCTGCAAACACTATAAAAACCAACTTGTTAAGTTTATTGCACGGACACCCTTTTCTCTCTTAAAGAATGGAAAGCTGTAGCCTCAAGCCAAATTTTAACTGAAGAAAGGCCAAAGCGCCCTAGCCAATGAAGAGGTAGGGTTTACAAGAGGCATCTCAACGTTTAGGGTGTATTTTCTTTTTTTTTAATTAGCCTTCTTCCTGTTATTTTACCTCATTATCATGTGGTGGCAACTGGTACAATAGCTGTTTAATTCGATGTTTCTCTCCAGGGCTGTTAACATAAGGAACCTTTTCCTCTGGTAAGCAAGCGAAATAGAGCTGGATCTGAGTTAAGATGGAAAGAAGGACATCAGCATACAGGAAGTGAACATCTTTGCTTATATTCCATCTTTTTAAAAAGTTACCTTTCCCTTTAGGTGTAGGGCTTGGCCTCCTGCAGCTGATGAGAAGACCAGCTGAGCCAAGGCAGCAGAACTGCAAGCCTTCAGACAGCGAGCAGCCGGCTGCTCAACTGCTCTTCGGGAATGTAATTTGTAGCGACAATTAGGAGCATCGTAAATTATGCACCATAAAAGGTGCACCTTTAATGCTACCACTCCTCAGCCGCTCTCCCTAGGTTCAGCCAAGGAGGAGTGCCGGGGGGGGCGCCACCGATGACCACACAAGCTGTGGGACGGCGCCCCGAACCCTGCCACTCCGCAAGCACGCTGCCTCTGCCCGCTGGAGGGTACACGTTACAAACACAAGAGCTGGTTTGTTAAGCTCTGTCAACGCTCCCTTATCAGGGTCTCTCAAGCATCAGCTTTCTTTGCTTCCATGGGTGTTATTTTCTAAATACCTGGAGTCCATTTCCCCAAGGAAACTGTAGGGGAGCCACACAGAGCCATACTTGGTCACTCTGAGAGGACTCGATTTTTGTTTGGGGTTTCTTCTGTTGTATTCAAAGGAATAGCCCTTGGTGAGTGCTGCCGACTATGCTGCAGTGCCGAGAAGAATGAAAGCGACTCCAGGGGAGAGGAGATGGGGGAATCGGGGCCCTGTCTGCTTCAGTAGCTTAGTTTCACACAAAACCTACCCAACCCAAAGCTGAAAGAAGGGGTTTTCTCCTAGCGAGCAACTTGTCAAAATACTGCTTTCCTAACCCGGGTGCCAGGCCGCGGCCCTCTCTCCCCGTTGTATAGGCTACAGAAGCCCCTCCAGTTCGAAGTGCTTACTGAGGAACAGCCACGTGTGCGCAGGGCAGGCCCTGCGTGACTCGGGAGCCCCTGTTCTCAGAAGAGTTCCCCACCATAACTCAGAAGCAATGGCACACCCGACTGGCACCTGTTACTTCAAACTATGGCTTTGCCCTGACACGAATGTCTGTCACCAGCAATGTTTAGTAAGCTCATCATTATAAGGATATTGGGAAAATAAAAATATGCATATACTTAACAATACAGACAATGCACAAAATTAGCTTCCCCCTGCCCCCTAATCCACACCGTGGGGACAGGTTCTTTTATGTGTAAGGTTATCAAAGGTCAAATGTCTAAGCAGTAACACTTCAGATGGTTTCTTACAGCTCTGTATTTCTTCTTTTCCAAAGCAAAAGCATTGCTGAGAACTGGCATGGAAACGTTCCTCTTTCCTTTTATTACCTTTTTATTGTTACTGTTATTTCAAAGATTAAATTCCTCTCACTCTCCAAAGAGACTTGTCAGATATCCACATAACAAACGCATAAACAGTGCTCTGGATGTCATTCATGAGAGCAAAAATAGCATCACTGTAGGACTTCTGGATCCAGGAGTACAAAAGGATTGAAAACTTTCATCGAGAAATTAAGGATGACCTTAAAAGGCAAAAATTTACACTATCCAAAGAGTGAGGACCGAGAAGGGTAGCAGGTCAGTGTGGTGGAAATGGTCTATAAATTTTTTATTATTTATTTTTAGCAATTTTTAAGATTTTATTTATTTATTTGACAGAGAGAGACACAGCGAGAGAGGGAACACAAGCAGGGGGAGTGGGAGAGGGAGAAGCAGGCTTCCCACGGAGCAGGGAGCCCGATGTGGGGCTCGATCCACGACCTGAGCCAAAGGCAGATGCTTAACAACTGAGCCACCCAGGCGCCCCTATTTTTAGCAATTCTTAAGAAATCTTAAATCCCCTGGAAAAACAGCACACACACAAGGCGATGAGGTTCCCACCTGCTCGGGTCGAAGGCCTGGGGGTACCCAGGCATACTCTTCCAACGCGCAGCCTGAGTCGTCATCTGACGTGGAGCTCCTCTGGCACCCAAAGGCGAGTTTGCTCATTTTGGGCTCCATCTCCAAAGGCATAGTAAGAAAGTGAAAAGGCTGGTTTCTCAGTCACAGGACATCAAACAATGGCTGCTGTGGACAATATAGGGGGAAAAAAAAAGAAATTAAAACCCCAAGGCACTATTCTTACCCTCCAAGAACTTTTATTGAATGTTGTTTACACACAGCTGGGTCTAGAGAAAGTAACCAAATTACTGGCGTCACCACCCCCAACCAACCCCCAGGCCTGCTGACACTTAAAATCTAGGGCCCCACAATTTGGAAACAGCCCCCTTCACGACTCAGCATTTCAGAAAATGCTCCCCAAACTAGCTTGGTCCAGTTGCCTTTAAAAAGTGCCTCTAATGCACTATTCGTTAGAAAGTTTCTCAAGAAAACGGCTCCGTTGACTTTCTAACTTTCCCACAGATGAAATCCTTGTGAAGTCCTAGGAGTCGAAGAGAGAAGTGTGAGGGCCCGCACCTCCACCTGCCTCGCCCTCGGCTGTGGGCCATGAAAAACGGCTCCAGAGACCCCACCCTGCTGGCTGGGTTTCTAGTCCGTTTTCCCAAGAGGCGCTGCTGTGTGTGCCGACTGGGTCCACGGGGCCAAACCGCTTGGGTTTCGGGGTTCTAATCAAGTTCTGGGAGACAGCAACTTTGTTTACTCATTGAGTGGAAAGAGCAGTTAAATCCTTATATAGCATATTCAATCCAAAGCCTTCACCATCAATGTGCTACAGTCGGCCAGACAGTTCATTAATGAGTTCCTTCAACAGAAAGCAACTGAATCCGAGCACGACGCGAAAACAGAACCCAGCTGGGTGACTATTAGTGTTGAACTGCATTACTAGCAGGCATTCACTGAAAAGTTACACAGTACCTACTATGTGTGTGACATGCTAGCACCCAGCTACCGGGCAAAGTAAATCCAGATGAAGAGTCTTCCTCGGACGGAAGGACTGTAAAAGGGGTCAACACAACGTGGAGTCCCCGCCCTAGAGCCCAGGAACTTTGTTATCGGCACTGAAGTTCCTTCTTAAGTGTCTTCTGATTCTTAAACATCCTCCCTCAGCTCCAGGTACTAAGAAAAAAAAGATACAAGACTTTCAGAATCAGCTTTCAGAGCACAGCTTTTTATATCTGCTCCTTTCCCTTCATGAAAAAAAAAAAGAAAGGAAAATATACGTGATTAGCCTGACCGCAATTTAAAGAAAACAAGTCTCTGGGAAGTTAAGTGACTTGCCCAAGGTCACACAGCTAAAAGCCAGAGTGCAGTCACACGACACGATGGACTCATCAGACTTCCAAAAGTTGTTCTGCCTTAAAAAATTCTCTTGCTTGCTGAAACAAGTAGGAAAGGAAACCTAAACACGCTTCAGCCTGAGACTGTCCTTTTTCAGCCACAATGTCAAACACAACTCTAAATACAGTATCAGAAAGTGTTACCTATCACAACCTGATTATTAAAACGTATAGTTCTCCTTTTATAAATCAAAGGACATAAGAAATTAAAATTGTAACAGTCAACAAATGGAAGGCCAAACACCCAATGCCTACAATCTTTACTGGAAGAAGGAGTGATGCCACTCGGTAGGTAGATATGATTCCAACTAATAAATTTAACTTTCCTTCACCCTGAACAAAAAGTAAAGATGACCTCATTTCCTCCACTATCATCGGGAGGTTATGACCTTTCAAACAAGTCGTCATCTCACACAGGTGCAATTCATTCCCATCTTGACTTAAGAAAGGCCCTCTAAACAGGCACATTCCTTAGTCCTCAGTAAAAAAGGATGTGTTAATGAAAGTCAGAAAATTTCTTGGATCTAGTCTTTCCCTTTTGTTTTGGAAAAAGCAACTCCCACATGTCAAAGGAAGAGAACTAGAGTTTAAGAATTTAATTAGTAACTCAAAAACCCCACCAGTGGGGGGTGGGGAAGGCGGGCTCCAATGCAATTTTAACCTGAATCATGAAATATGTGTATTTGGCCCTTGCCAAACCTGGCTGAGGAAGGAGACACGACAGTACCTGCTCTGCAGAAACTTACAAAGAATACAGATATTAAATAGAGCCTAAAAATGAAATGTCCTATCTTATAAAACAAGAGAAAACACCACAAATTAAGACAAATCATGGATTTTCCAAACTAGCACAAAGAGGCAGACTACCAAAGATCTGAATCACTTTTACAGCTGTAATCCTTGATTAGCCTTTTGGAAAAAAAAAAATTTACAATTACTATCCGAATCAAGGTAAATCAACATGAGCACTAAATGACACAATCCCCCCTCCTCCCCATCATCTAGAGGTGCTGGCCACGCCTCAGGCCTACCACTCCCACATATTCATTCCAGCCTTTCCACACTCTACACGGAGGACTGTGTCCGCCAACAACATGAAGGGTCCAACTGGAGGAACGCGAGGGACCGAGTCCTTTTTACCCCAGGCAAGGCTTCCGGTTTCATCTGCTGGCACTCTGACAGCTGCCTTGCGCCTCTGTGCCCAGCCTGGCATGATTCGTGTTATGACATTTAATCCCCATATCAAGGGGCCCACAGAGGGTGTATCTCGACTCACAGAGGGGGAAACTGAGCCTCAGAACGATCTGCCACAGGACAACTGTCCTAAGGTCAGTAAGTTAACAAGCAGTGGCCTTGGAACTGGGCCTCTCTGTGATCTTAAACCCCGGGCACCCCTCACTGCCTCCTAGAGGTGGAACCCGACTGCGCCAGTTCTGCTTTTTCTGGCCAACTAGTCATGCTCCTGCGTCACAGCCGTGAAAAAGGATGGACCGCAGGGAGACCAGCCGCTTTGCCCAAGCAGACGCTTCGAGGAGAGCACCCAGGCAAAAAGGATTAGGAAAATTCAACGGCCTCATGAGCTGTTGATTCAGAATCTGTTCTCTGGAGAAGGCCTCTTTTTGCTTTCTATCAGGAGATAATAACTTAAAATGACACAACATTCCATTCATTAGCAAGGTCTCAGAGATGGCAAAAAATAAACATTAAAAAAATAAAAGTGACATAGCATGACCTCCACTTGCCAGGTTGTAGGAAGAGACCCTACATTACCACTAGCTACTTTCTTTTACTTGATAACACACACACTTGAATATGGGCTTTTCTTTTCTTTTTTAAAAATTACCTGTGTCAGGAGACCCTTAGATTCGTAAGTGTATCTTTGTCTCATACTGGGTCACAGGAAAGCAGTTGACTGCTGAGCATGGTTCCTGCACTTCTAAAATGTTAAAGTAATAGAAATGATACATCTGACTTCACCTCTATTTCTTACTGTAGGCATTTACATTACTCTATGGTATCTGCTTTGACAACACAAAGAAAGAGGGGAGCCTGGACATTCCTTATGCTTTGGGTCATGATGTAGCGGCTTCCTGATGACACATAAATGTGGTTATGTCTCATCTGCCAAAACACCACCTTTTAGACCAAACACGAAACCACGCGTGAATCGCGTGGAACACGCGAATCGAACAGAAAAACTGAATTGAACAGAAAAATTTCATTAATTTCATTTCCAGGTGTTGTCGCTTTAGGTTGGTCATGTGAAATAGGTACACAAATCAGATCTACAAATGAACTGCATTATAATAGGAATAGAGCTATTCACAGCTGGGATTAGGAGAGAGAAACTCTCAAGATTTTGTTTTTTGCAGAACCACACTTAGATGCACAAGAGCGGCCCTGTCCTATGCCCTGTCCTTTATTAGTTTCATATTTTACTTATTTTTGTAAATTTTTATTTTGATGTAATTTCAAACATCAGAAAAGATGGAAGAGTAAGGAACTCCTACGTAGCCTGTACCCAGATTCATCGTCTACATTTTGCTTCATTCGTTTTATCATCCTCCCCCCCTCATTATCAAACACTACACACACTTTCCTGGGAACCATTTGGGAATGTGTATTTTTTACATTCTCTTACCTAACCACAGCTAAATTAAACATGATATATTTTTTAAATGTTTATTTAAAAAAAAAACTATGGGGGGCGCCTGGGTGGCTCAGCTGTTAAGCGTCTGCCTTCAGCTCAGGTCATGATGCCAGGGTCCTGGGATTGAGCCCCACATTTGGCTCCCTGCTCGGCGGGAAGCCTGCTTCTCCCTCTCCCACTCCCCCTGCTTGTGTTCCCTCTCTTGCCATCTCTCTAATAACTAATATCTTAAAAAAAAAAAAAAAAAAACTATGGGCAAGACGCCATGTTAGATGCTTGAGATAAATAGAATAAAAAGGCAAAATAGCTTAGTATTCTGTGATTATTGGGAGGCAGGTTTATTGTACTGGTCTTGAAATGCTGTAATTAACCGAATGAACTTAATCATATGTGAATGACAATTATGCATTAACCAGTTCTGTGCTAGGTTTGCCCCTGTCGGGGAAATGAATCAGTAGAGGCCCCACCTCTCCAATGTCTTTTTATAATTCTGGATGTAAAGAAGTTTCATCATGCAGGGAAAAAAGTGAAACAGTTTTCAGGAATGGGTTGGTTCAGGTTTCAAACAGAGTCTGACCCTTAAGGAAACGTGTAAAGGAACGTTTAAGAGCTACCAGCTCTGTCAAAGATGCCTTCCGGGTCAGCACAGCAAGCAGGTACCTGAATCCAATGAGAGCAGGTTAGGACGTATTCGCAGATACTATTTTGAAGGGAAAACTAAAAGCCAATTAGAAGAATCAGGAGAGAAATGAATGACAAACAGAAGAAAAGGGCATGGACATAAGGGAGGGGAGAAAGAAGCCTGAGGTTGGGCACAGAGAAATGAGATATTTTTTCTTAGAAAGACAAGGATTATCATGGGGGTGCCCATGCAAGCCACGCAACAGACGGTGGAAGAGTTTCATTTCCCTCCTTTATCCCTTTTCTCTCTTCTTCCTTCAAAATCGTTAACTAGCTGCTTCTCACCATGTAAAAAGACTCAAAGACAAACAGCTCACAGGTGTAGGACTTCTCAATCATCATATAATTGTCAAGAGAACATCTGACCCAAGGGATAGAGCAATACTTAGGGAACAGGATCTGGGGCTTCAGCACTCAGTAAACTCAGCCCTGGAGCCTTCATACCTCTCACAAGTCAC